TTCTTCAAAATATCATCTTTTGTGTTCAGCAGAAGAAAGAAATTCAAACAGATTTGGAAAAACATGGGGGTGAGTAAATGATGACAGAATATTCAATTATGGGTGAACTGTCCTTTTACCACAGTTTCTTCTTTTGTTATTACTCCCAATTCTCTCCAGCAGCAACAGGCGCAACTCGACTCAAAACCCAGTTGCCTCTTAGGTGTTAGTGAGGCCAGCAGGGGGTGCTCACACTGTGGTCTGTGTAGGTCCTAATGCCCCAGTATAGTGACTGGGACACTATACTGTCAACAAGCAGCGTCCTTTGGATGAGACGTTAAACCGAGGCCCTGACTCTTTGTGGTCATTAAAAATCCAAGTCTTTTGAAAAGAGTAGAGGTGTGACCTCGGCATCCTGGCCAAATTTGCCCATTGGCCTCTGACCATCATGGCCTCCTAACAATCCCCATATCTGCTGATTGGGTTCATCACTCTGTCTCCTCTCCACCAGTAAGCTGGTGTGTGGTGGGCGTTCTGGCACACTATGGCTGCCGTCGCATCACCCAGGTGGATGCTGCACACTGGTGTAGGATGAGGAGATACCAAATTTTGTTTGTGCTCAATATAGCAGAAGAAAGTAACTTTCAATCATAACACAATGCCATGACAATGCCAGTACACGGTTCCTCACCCTGTGGTCTGTGTGGGTCCTAATGCCCCAGTATAGTGACTGGGACACTATACTGTCAACAAGCACCTTTGGATGAGCTGTTAAACCTTGGTCCTGACTCTCTGTGGTCATTAAAAATCCACTTGGATTTATTATGTTCTAAATTCTTAGACAATAAACTAAAAAAAAACTTGATGTATTTTTTTTTTAAATACATCAAGTTTCAAGATGAAGAACAAATTTGGAACACCAAATTCAATATTCTAATATTCAAAATGCACAAATTCAGAGCCTACAGAAAGTGGGTCAGAGGTTAAGAATCCAGTTTTCACAGGGAATATACATACATAGACAAATTTGTTTGAAAAAAAAAATTATTCAGCAAGAATGCATTATATTAATCAAAAATGGCAGTAAAGATATTTATAATGTTCTAAAAGATTTTTATTTCAAATAAATGCTGTTCGTTTAAACGTTCTATTCATCAAAGAATCCTGAAAAAAGTATCACCGTTTCCTTAAAAATATTAATCAGATTCAGCACAACTGTTTTCAACATTGATAATTAGAAGAAATGTTTCTTGAGCAGCAAATCAGCGTATTAGAATAAATTCTGAAGGATCATGTGACACTGAAGACTGAAGTAATGATGCTGAAAATTCAGCTTTGACGTTTATATTGTCACATTGCCATATAAAAGATGTTTTAACGTTTTATTCTTTTTAAAGGTGTTATTTTTTTTTTTGGAAGACATGACTGAACTTCATAGCACTCTCTATAACTGTTATGTTGATAGTGATGATCAAGTTGTATTGTTGTTAGATTTTAATAATGAAGACAATGGATGCACTATGTGGTTTATACTGTTTCCTGACTAATTAAAACTGTCTAATCTCTTTCATCTAGCCATGAACACTGTGTTGCTCAGCAACCTCTTCTCTCTCCCACGGATCGTGTATGCCATGGCGGAGGATGGCCTCTTCTTCTCTGTCTTTTCCCGTGTAAACCCTGTAACCAAAGTCCCGGTGATCGCAATTCTAGTTTTTGGCAGCCTTATGGCAATCCTTGCCCTCATCTTTGATCTGGAAGCCCTGGTCCAGTTCCTCTCTATTGGCACTCTGCTTGCTTACACTTTTGTAGCGGCCAGCATCATAGTGCTCCGCTTCCAGCCAGATAAAAGCAGTGGGAGCTCAGGAGGAGGTGGAATCAAGACAGACGCTTCATTCACACCTTCAATGAACCAGTCAGGACAGCAGGTGGATCCATCTGCGGTGACGAATGAGACCCAGACCTTTGCGCAGGACAGCGGAGAGCTGAAGGAGTATGAGTCCTTCTCTGATAAACTTCAGCTGGTGGAGCGGCAGAAGTCGGTGAAGGAGAGACGGGCTCCAGGCACACTGAAGGCTTGCTGGGAGCCGTATCTGGGCCAAATACTGGGGCACTGTGAGCCAGGCGAGGTGGTGGCGTTCTCTGTGCTCGCTCTGATGGTCAGTGGACTCTCTCTTTGTGCTGTGCTGGTGTTCGGGAATAACCAGCTGAATCTGCCTGTGTGGAGCTTCACCCTGCTGCTGGTCATCTTCAGTCTAGTCTTCCTGCTCAGTCTGGCTCTCATCTGGGTCCATGAACAGCAGCCCAATCACAAGACTTTTCAGGTGAGTTAAAATACCACAAAAATAGGGCTGAATAGACAACTGGCTATACAAAACCATTGCTATCATACAGTGTAAAAGTGAGTGAGCATGAATTAATTTATTTCCTTAAACATAGTTAAGTGTTAAATTCTTTGCATGTGTGCATCTTAAAATATTATCATTGCCTGTTATTGAATATGTCAGCGATGTACGATTTGTTCTTTTGAGTCAGATCAATAAATCATCTGAATCGGTTCAAAAAACATTTTGTGAACAATTTGTTTAGGAATAGGACTTGAGTTGGTCCGAACAGTTCTTGAATCAACAGTTTACTGACTTGTTGCTGTCTTTCTTAGAGTGATCTGGGTTAACAACTCACATACTCATTGAATATAGTGCTAGTGAGCTTATTGTAAGAACATTTGAAGCAAATTATATTTATGTTCTATGAATTTTATGATTTTTATGGGCGTACCACAAACTGAACTGGAGTTTCAACATGAGGTTTCAGTACAAATCCTAATAAAAAAAACTGCAATAAACAGCAATATGTCATACATGAGGTATGTGTGATGAAGTAAAATAACATATTTTTCTCTAACCAGTTTATTGAAACAAAACTTTTCAGAAAAAACAACAACAAAGATTTACAGTAATGATTTAGACTGTTGATCAGTAATATGTGTTTTATCATTCAGGTCCCTCTGGTGCCATTTGTTCCTGGCTTCAGCATCCTTCTGAATGTATTTCTCATGTTGAAGTTAAGTCCAATTACCTGGATCCGTTTCGCCATATGGGTTGCAGCAGGTACCAGTTCATTGCTCTTCACCTCTATTCTACCACAATATTGTGAATTACATAAATATCAATTAATCTCATTAAAGACAATGAGCTGTCTGTGAATATAGCTGTCATAAAGAGAGAGTTAATCAAATTTCTGTCATCATTTACTCGTCCTCATGTTGTTCCAAACCCATTTGACTTTCTTTTGTTTTCTGAAACACTGGAAGATACCTTAAGCAGAATGTTCAAGCTGCTATTTTCCTTCCTTATTTTCCTACCAAAGATTTTGGCCACCCCCAACTGTCAAAAAGAAGGTTCGGACTATAAAATGTACATACTGTTGCATTGACAGATAAATAAAAACACCATTTTATTTTAATGGGTAAACGAGTTGAAAATATGGCTATAGATTGAAGGTTTAGATTTGTTTTGCTAGTTTTTTGGTCAAAGTTAATAGCTAAATGGTGACTGCTTCTGCATGTGCAAGCTCTTAAAGAGAGTCCAGCTTTTGTCTGTAGTGGCTGAACATTAATTGGCTATGCACTCATCTGTGAGAAAAGAAGATAAGCCCAAACATGATTATCTTCAGTTCCTGTCAGCACTGCTACAAACCATTTAAACAGTTAAACCAGCCTACTCACATAATCAAATTTGTCCCGCTGCTGTGTCACAGGTCTTCTGGTGTATTTCGGCTATGGTATCTGGCACAGTAAGGAGGGTTTGCGGGAGCAGCAGGGGCAGGAAGTGGCAGCGCGTTACGTGGTCCTTCCCAGCGGCAGCCTGGTGGAGACCGTCCAGAACGTCCAGCCTGAAGGACACACTCTCAGCACACACTCACCAACCCACGACAATCCACCTGCCAGCAGATGATCTGATCATGCTGAGGTGTGTTTACAGTACACCTGCATGCCTGCCTGTTCTATTACTCACGATTTTCCTTCTCTTCAGTTTACTGACAACATGTCAAGATAAGCTGTTCATCAAAACGATGGTTTGAAGGTAAATTCCAGGTTCAGTAACTTTTGTCAAATAATGTTGGTTACCACAAAAAATTATTTGGACTTCCCCCATTTCCTTTAAAAAAACAATAGGCAATAGAGGTAAATAGAACCAATTTTGAAGCAGAAATGTGTTCCTTATTATTTTATAAAGCAATTCTTCTGCTAAAACTGTAGTATTTGAGCTGTAAAGCTGTTTAAATCATTTTTACAGTCATTTTAAGCATTAAGGGTTTACAACATTGCAATGTCATTGCAACAAAGTTGTAAAATTGTATATACCTTTACAAAGAAAAGCTTTATTTTTTACATCTTGTGACTATAATGTTGAAACGGTGAGTATTTTAATGTTTACCAATTGGCCCAAATCACTTACTTTGAAACCGTCTCACTGTAATCCAGATTTTTGGCATTTTTTAAAGAAAATAATTAAGTGGATAGTCATTTTTGTGGTAATCAACATTATGCCACAAATGCTGTTAATTGGTCTTAACCTGTACTGACCCCAACATATTTATTTAAAGACATTGTATTGTATTTAAGCAACCATTAATCAACTACGGCCATTTATTTTCTTTCTTACGTATACAAACACACACACGCATATACTTTGATGGCCATAATTTAAATTTAACAGCAGGCAGGAACCATCAGTATATCATGTGAATATACTTAAACATTACTATATTTACACACCCATTATTTTTGCAGTCTGGGTCACAAACACACTCCTTAAACACACACTAACCTCAGTGGCTCTGTTTCCACCATCTTTCTACATGTTTTGTTTTCCACTACGTCATTGCACCTTATAAATATTTATTTTTATAATACAGTATAACTGTATATTTATTTAGTTTTCAGTATATACTCAAACCAAGATCATGTTTTAAAGCAGCACTAAGTAACTTTTGGCACTCTAGCAGTTAATAAACAGAACTGCACAGATCCCGCGGAAGAACATTCCAACCGGAGCTACTCCTCTAAGTTTATGTCTATGGCGATTCACGCAGGTATGTGTTCCTCCGCAGCGGTGACGACCCGACCAGGCTACAATAGTCCACATAGAAGTACTTATAATAAGTGTACCGTAGTGATTCGGAATACGACAAAAATGCGGTTTGGAAGATGAATTCATGATGTACTTGCTCATTATATATATTTTGCAAATTGTGAACACAGAAAAAGTTACATAGTGCTGCTTTAATAATGTTAACTATTCATGGTGATTTTTTGTTTGTACGATAAGCTCAGTATGAACTGCCTCTGAGTAACCATGTTTCATTTGTGTCCACTGCCACACCTCACTAAAAACACTTTACCCCAGTGTTCACTAATCCTTATTCCCACACTCAGATCTGCACATCACACAAACTAAACCGCCCTCATTCTCTCACATACTCGCTCAGTGTAGCGTGACAGAGCTGGAACATTTACTCAGAATTACCTGTGAAATTGGCTGTTTATTTTAGCAGCTGGGTCAGTGACATTTATTTAGTTTTTGTCCAGATCTATAAATGTATTTGAAAATGCAATTCATACATATAGTGACTTAAATATATCTGTTACGATGAGCATGTTTTTTTGTTTTTTTTTCTGAATTTAAAAAAAGAAAGAAAAAAAAAACTTTCAATCCTGCAAGCCTGAGGAAGGTTGATTGACCGAAATGTTGCATAAATTAAAAAAATATCATTGTGATACAACTGTCCTGGTATCAGAATGAGGAAAAAAGCCTCATTAAAGGGATGAAATTATTAAAAAAGAAAAAAATAATTATTCTATTATTTCTTAGGAAAAAAAGGCAGTGAAGTGGCTTCGTTAAAATACTGTACTATTTAAAAAGAGTACATTTCTAAGAACATGAAATCGATTTTAAATCCGACATTTAAAAAAATGTAATTTTCTGTATTTTAAACACTCACAAATGTATTTGTCATTGTCCCAGCTCCAGGTGTATTAGAAATTAGGCTTTAGAATTTATGTTGACCTTAAAGATCAACTCATTTTATGTTGTTAGAATAGTCACAATTATAATGGCACACTTACAAATGCACATACACAGTCTTGAGAATTTCTGGCGTCCTGATCACCATTGTGCCCTTCTGAGCTCTTCAATTTGTGTTGCTCCAAGTGGACTGTCCCTGTTAGTATTTAGGTTAAATTTGCTTTGGATGGGAACATGTGAGTTAATGACTAATAATAATTTATACTTCAATTTAACACAACTAGAATATTGACAAAAGCACAGAACAAATCGTTTTTTTTAGTACAAGGACAACAGAAGAGTGCGTTTTATACGTAGTGGATACTGTTTGGACAGCAGATATCGTCAAATATGCCATACAAAAGCAAAGATAGGATATTCCCCTTCACAAGCCCCTGTAATCTCCCTCACCCCCTAGATTTACAGCATTCCCTCCCTCACAGATTGACCCAGATTATCTGTGTAGAGCGAGTCAGTGCAGCTGGAGAGTATTATTGTCACTCGGATAGCGCTACACACATTCACAAGCATGATGAATGTCATTCTACGTCCTGCTGTTTCTGCTTTATCATGCTAACTCTATTACAAACATACTCACAACAAAGAACATCTAATCTCTGATATAAAGAATGAAAATGTATCCCAAAACATTTTTTTTTTTGATCGATCACATCCACTCAGCATGTGAGATTTCAGTCAAAATGCACTTTACAGGTTCACTGGATGTACCAAAAGTTTAAACTTTATTTAGTGGTTTAAAATATAGTTAAGTAAGGAAGCATGTGTTTTTGTTTATGTATTTTGACTTTTTTTTTTTTCATTCACACTTCGAACCCAACGCTGTGTGGAGTCTTAACCATACTGCTGTACATAATGACTACTAGATAGCACCTATGAGACTTTCATTAAATGACTATCTCTGCAGCCAGTCTAACTAACTACATCTAACAAGCTGAACTAAGGCTGTTTACACCTGGTATGAGCATCCAATCTGAAGTGGTCCGCTGACATTGATCTGCATTTTCATATGGTGCAAATATATATATGGTGCACAATAAATATCACACTGCTGTTTCGTTATAATCGTTATTATCTGACGACAAAAATTATGTTGTGTCATCTTGTCATTTTAATGTAAGAAGTACTGAGGATTCTGTGAAGCTTTGCTATTGTTCATTAATATGATTTATTTATTCTATTGTTGGTTGTTTTCTTGTAAAACTGTACATAGACGGCAAAGTTTAAAACTTAAAAATGATTTAAACACAAAATGGTGTTGTTTGACAGCTGAGTATTTACATTCCTGCAAATGATTAACACTCTAAAACACTTTTTTTGTTTTGTGTATGTACAGTTAATAAATGTAAGGCTATATACTCGCTTACACACTGCACTAGACTAATGGCTGGTCTTCATTTCACTGATGTGCTGATAAGAATAAAAGACAACATCACACCCATCCACTGCTTCAGATACAATGTCAGTACTCTCTTTGAGTGCACTGGTGTTTGTTCAAACCCTTTCAATTGAGGTTTGTATCCTCAGTCGTTTAGCAGCTGTCTTGACTTTGTATCTAAGCCTGTCTGCTAGTCCAGTTTGCTGTATAATCCACTTCACGTCTTTCTGGCAGCCAGACTTCGTTGTGTAATGCAGATATGAAGACTAGTAAATGAAGGCACAAGATCCACTTAAGATGTAAATACTCTTATTTGTGTTTGTAAATATAGCACACCTAACCAATGGCCTTAATGATGCAGATACTGAAGCATTCCCAAAGTTTGACATACAGCTACTGTAGACTATAGTCTTATTTGTAACTTTGTGGTATTTAATATGTTATTCAATCAAAGATGAAAATGATTATAAAGCTGAGATCTTGTAATTTTGAAGCACCTCTTTTTTGGCCTATCCTCTTTCTACAGCTTCTGTATATCAGGTTGTGTTTGCGTTGCCATGCTCACTTGCACTGTCATCTCTTTCAAAATATACAGCTTATTAAGAAACGTCCTCTTTGTTGTGTCACTGAACATATACCTCTATTTTGTGTCTTTGTAACATTCTGTTACGAGATCGTATCGTGTGATGAATAAACGTTTTGAAGCATCATATGTTTCATTGTTATTTATAGAATTTATGTGGTATTTAATGTTTTATTTTATTTAATATTAAATTACGAGAGACAAATAATAGCAAACAGTTTTTCAATAAAAACAATAAAAATAAATACATTAACATCAGGCATGACAGATGAGCCTATCAGTCAGGAATGGATTATTAGATTAAGCAGAACTTGTGAGGAGTCACATGGGAATTTTTCCCAATTACCAGTATGAACCAGATGACCTCGGCGTAACTAGGTCTAGATACAGACTTTTAACATTTACTCTCACTAATTGTAGATGAAGTGCTACATGAAAGATGCAGCTACAAACCGGGATGTACCTAGACTCTATAATACGACACCCATCATGCTTCGCTGCACACGAGGATCCCATCAGTGCCACAGAACAAAACAGATTAAATTTCTCTTTAACATGCTGGGTTTGTCAGCCCTATAACCACAATATTGTTTACTATTAATGTGTAATAGATTGTGTACTGTACCAGTGTTTTTTTAGTATAATGTCTTTACTATTATAGTTTTTATTAATAATTGTATTTCTTTCATTTACATTTTTAAGTTGTAGTAATTTTATCTTACTAGTTTTTATTACTTCTATTTCCGTTTGAGTTATTTTACTTCAAGTTAAACTAAATGAAAACGAGAAATGTTTCTTTGGAAAATAGCTGAAATATGTTTACATTTTTATATATTTTATTTTACAGGAAAACACAACAGAAAATGGAAAACTCTGTGTGTGCGGATATTACAACATACACCACTGATATGACCAATGATAACAAGGTTTCATTTGACCCTGAGGGTTACCGTGACCACATGCCAACATACTGACTGAAGCCTTGGGCTGTAATAAAGCTATCAAGGTTAAATATTATGCACTGTAGATGATGATAACTTCAAACTCTTTGCAATTTTTCTCTGAGAAACTCCTTTCTGATATTGCTCCACTATTTTT